AAAGAACACCTAGAAAGTTGGTTTTGCAGGTTTGCTGACAAGAACCTGCAGATTTTGTATTAGGGATGCTGACTGACCAGCTCTATGAAATGTTAAAGAAGGTTTCAATGTTCTTTAAAAATCCTAAAATAGTTTAATGCCCTATGTTTAGTAAAAATATGTTGTCTAGGACTGTTCTTTCCTTTAAGATCCCACATCCATATCAGCTCAGGTCCTGAACCAGCACTCCCCCAAAAAACCCATGTATCTATTATAAATAAACCATGATATTTTAAAAGTCATAATCAATTTTAAATCCTAAATTAAAATAAATTATATAGCAAATTAAAATAAATTTGACTTGTGTTAATTCATGAGTGCTTCTATTTGGGTCTGCCTATGTCAGTCATATAAAAGATTTATCTCTCATTTCGAGTAGGAAGAACAGGGGACCAGATGGAGGGAGCTAGTATGCATTTCCATGCCTCCTTACTAGAGTAAGTAAAGGGCCAGCATCTATCTTTCTACTTACCTGTCCTTTTCATGACAGCCACTAATGGCAGTGAAGAAAGGAGAGCAGTCAATGTAACCTAGTAGTATTTTAATTACAAGTGGGTAGCGACTTCAGGTTAGCTTAAGTGTGTGTTAAATCTGAAGTTAACCTTTCTTTCTCTCAACGAGAGGTTGTTGGAGGTTTGGTTTTCAGGTTTTTGGCTTTGTTTTTCTTTCTACATTTCCCTGTTGGATCCAGAAAAAAATGTGATTTTAAGAATATTTTAACGTTATGGCAAAGGAAAACAATAAATGAGCACTTTCCCAAAAGGATAGGGAGAACAAAAGACTCCCATGTAGCAAAGAAAAAGAGGGGAGCAACTTCTGGTTGGTTGTGCTCTACCTGCTGAGAACAGGGTCTCAGCTGTCCATTAACAAGTTAAAAGGAGAGAAGCTGAAACTAAAACTGGAGAGCCCGGCGTCCACGCGCCTCAAGCAGTCTCTTTCTCTTTGTTTTTAAATGCTACTGTAGTGTTGTTTTTCGCTGTCTGAAAGGACCACAGCGTCTAAAACACTGATTGTCATCCTCAGTGGGAGAACAGGTTTCCAATTTCATCTGCTGGAACGAAATTGTGTGTGTATACTCGGCTTAAAACACTAGAGAAAACGCGGCCTTCCCAGGGCAGCGCTTTTTCTGGGTGGACAGTAAGCCAACAATTCGCCCAAGATTTTGACTCTTTTTGCTCCTGGCTGGCTCTTCAGTCTCTCTAGAGAACCTTCCAGGTGGAGCTACTGGAGTCAGTCAGACTGGGGGAGGGGTCACTGTGATCTCGAGGGGCTCAGAAGTTCCTACCTAAGATTGCAGAGCAGACCTGCTGGCTAAGGGCCCGAGCCCTCGGGCAGCCTCCGTGCGGATTGCCCTTTGGGGGCGAAATGGGCACAGGCACTGGTTCCGCTGGCTTCCGGCGGCTGGAGGAGGTAGTTGGGGAGAGTGTTTAGTGTTCCTCTCTTGGGGAAAGCTCAGGAAAAGGGGAAACAGCTCAGAGAGAGCACGTGGGCTACCAGCGACTCTCCTCACCTTAACCCTGATCCCGCTGTCCCTGTCAACGCCACCTACCCCACCAGAGAAGGGCAGAATGCGCGCGGCGACAGCGCGGCGGCCCAAAGCGCCCCGCAGGCCTCGGCTGGTGCCTTCCCTGATGGGGCCGCGCACCGTGCGTGGCGAAGAGGCTGCTGCCCGGCCCAGGGCCACCGGCCCAGGGGAAAACGCCCCCCCGCCGAAGAAGGGGAGTCTAGAAACCAGGGCCTCTCTCCTCGACCGACGACGCTCTAGTGACGGGCGGGGGAAGAGACGCCCTCTGGCTAGCACTCCTCCGGCAAGGGCGCGGGTGAGAAGCACAGATCCGAAAGCGGAGGCCGAGGCCCCAGGAAGCAAAGGAGACGGGGCATACCTGAAGCAGGAAGGGCAGTGGGGAACAGCGGCGGGGCTAGGCCGCCTCCCGACTAGGCTCTGCGGCCCGAGGCCGCTGCCCTGGACCCAAAGCGCGGTGTCGCAGAACCCGAGAGCGTGCACACGTGCGGCGCGGCGGGGCTCAGCCAGGGGCCAGGACCGCCTCACCCCGCAGCCGCCCGGCCTGCTCCAACCCCGCAGTCGTGCGTCCGCGGCCACCTACGCGCCTCGCCCAGGATTTAGCTCCGCTCCACGACTCAAAGCGGGAGACCGGGACTTGGGCCGGAGAGGTGGCTCCGGGGTACACAAGACGACGGCTGCTCACTGTCCCGCGAAGCTCAGGCTCCCGCCTGGGTGTCTGGCCCCTCGGGGACAGCCTCGCAGCCTCTGTACTCAAGGTCTCCGCGGGCCGGCCCACCAGGTCCCGCGCCTGGAGCTGAGCTGGGATGCGGGACCCGCGCACGATTGTCTGTGAACCGGTGGAGAAGAGGCCCCGCCAGGGCCGGGAGGAGAGAGCTGTGGCGCCCGGACTCCCCGCGCCTCGGGAGGGCAGAGAGTGGCAAGAAACTGCCTCTGGAGTCTGCGGGTGGCGGGAGGAGCTCCCCCACTTTTCTGCAGCCCGAGTGGCGCGGCATGGACGCCTCTGGATTCCCCTGGATTCCCAGGACCTGGAGTTCTGCCTGCAGACGTTACCAAAGGCCTCCAGGTGGGGGAGGTGGTAGGAGTGAAGCCCCCTTCAGCCGCAGCCGCTGCGGGAGTCGTGGCGGCGGCGGCGGCCGAGCAGAGCAAGGGCGGCTCTGCGTGGGTTCAGTGCCAGGTGCCCGACTGGCCCTCAAGGTGCGGGAGAGAGGGGCGTTCACGAGGGTCACCGCTCAGCAAACAGGTTCGCCCATAAACGCCAATGCCAATGCCTCTTCCTGGAAGTTTCCACTTGAGCTCGGGGTCAAGACCAAGCTGTCCTCGCCTGGAGAATTGGTTCAAGACCCGCAGCGCCCGGCCCCGGCGGCGCCAGTCTCCTTGCCTGCAGCTCGTGGGGCTTTGAGGGCTAACCGCCGGCCACGTCCCTTTGCCTCCGAATACTTAGGAAGCTTCATTCTCAGCCAAGAGGTCAAGGCGAGCAGGCAGCTGGGACCCGAACAATTGTGTGTTCAGATTTAAAACGTCAGGGGAAAGAAATCGCCCTAATATTTGTGTGGGCTTTTTTTTTTTCATTTTACTTGGCAAAAGGCTGTAAGGTTTCGTCCTAAAAACACTATTTATAAGCCGTTGCTCATTACTTTTGGCTATCATAAGAAACCTGCAGAGGAGAAACGAAAAGTGGGTTTTGATTCAGTTAAACTGCGATGCCGAGAAGATAAATTGGAGGTCCCTTAACAGCTGGTCCTCGAAGATTTCCTCAAGGAAAAAAAAATGTGGTTAGTTCCCCCAATGATCGCTCTAAGATTGCCAAGAAAACTCACAGGAATATCCAACTTTCTCGCCTCCTCCTGCTTGTCCCTAGTTCAGCCAGACTGAGCCAGGGATGGCGGAGGAAGGCATATTGTGCAATTTCTTATTAAACACATCTGGAATATGCGCACTCTGAATCGAGTGCCAGGGATTTTACAAAGAGTTTATGACTGCGACAGAAAATTGTCCTTTTAACGAGTTTACAAGCAGTAATCACAGGGGTTTTTACAGGACTGGCCCGCTCTGCTCCTCGCCAGATCTGCAGACCTTTCTTTCCAAGATTCACCAACCGAGGGAGCAGGAAGTGGGCCCGGGCGCCCAGGGAGACAGACCTTCCACGAGTCTAAAATTATACCAAGCGGAGCTGGAAGAGTGGGGGGTAGTCAGCGGAGGAGGAAGAGAGGGCATGTAAGAAATTAAAGTAATTGGCCCTTCCTTATTTTCCAGGGAGATTTCCGCGGTGTCCTTTGAAGCCTGTCAGGGTCATTGAAAGCTATCTTTGTGCAGGGTGTTTGTTTTGGGGAGTGAATGTGAAGAATGTGCAGAGATCCCTGTGAGAGCCCCTCCTGCAGAGGGTGGCATTTCTCCGTGGCCCAAGACATGGAGAATAAACACCCTCGTGACTTAAATAAACACCAACTTAATGATCCAAAACACTAACAAGGGAGATTGGGACCCTGAGCTCCCAATCCAAATGATGGTCTCCCAGCGGCTGTGTGCACATCTGTCCATCACTGAGGGGGAAAAATGACTTTATAAGTAAAAGTGACTACAGTTAAGTACAGTGATCCTTTCTCCTTTGCACTCAAAGCTATTTGACATTTAAAAAAAAAAAAAAAGCCCTCATAGTAAGGCCTAAATTCCACTCCCCACCCCATACACACACCTCAGTCTCCTAGATCAGGACAGGAAAGATAAGAAAGAGTAAGGAAAAAATGAATATATTAATAGTGATACGGATGGGGAAAAATCAAAATTATGAAACTGTCATGTCAAAAAATAAATAGACTCTCTCTGGGGAGCAATATTTTTACAAAGCACAAGCAAGCCAGTCCTGTTATCCTGAGTAGAATTTTAATAAATAATGCCATTTGTTTCACTAATTTTAAAAGCTAAATACAAAGATACATCATTTTTGCCCCAGGCAAAAATAATATGGAGCCTACATGATTAGTGGGATTTTTCTGGACACTATCCGGCAGCAGTGCAAAGAGCTCTGGTCCTACTGGTCTGCTCTCTATTTATACAGATTAATTCACAATGTTGTCATCCTTGTTCAAGTGCCCCCCCTTTTCTTTCCAAGCAGATAAATTATTTTACTTTCACAGTCTTGTCATAAACTCATTAATACAAAAGAGCTGAGTTAACATATGAACGCTGTGGAGAAGAGCTAGTGGTAAACAAAACTTCGTATCTAAATAATAAAAAAATAAATACCCCAAAGCTAACTTCACTCTTTTTCTGTCACATAATCAACTCAGTCACCACTCCTGGCTCAGGTGGTGGCCTTCAAAGTACCCTGCAATTCACAACCACCATTAAATAAGAAAGCAAGAAAACTTCAAAAAAAAAGGGGGGGGCCCAATGACAGCAATACACAACTCACCTTTCAGAAACAGAATCATACTCCTGGTGTTCTACTAAGTTTTAATTTAGACTGGTTTAGGTACAATAGAAAAGAAACCTGAAAACACATGCTGTTTTAGTAACAAATACCAGGTTGCCAGATTTGTCGTATATTTTTGCAGGCTAGAAACTAGGAACAAGAGAAACCCTTAACAGGAGTAGGCTACAGATATGAAAGCTTCAAGGGCATGAGAAGTAATGGCATTCAGGAAAATGTTTTTTTCACATTGGTACATTTTTAAAGTTTGCCATTAAAAAAACCCAAGAAAACAAACAACAACCAAAAACCCCACTAAATTTGACAAAAATAGTTGTATTACTAATGGTCACTGCTATTTCTAACGGCCTTACACAGAGAGCATTAAGACGTTTAGGCACTTTTTTTCCCCCTAATACTGTTCTTTCATTTTAATCTACATAAAAGTGTTTAACACTAAATAATGAAGACTGTAAACTTAATTTTCCCCATCAAAAAGTTATAAGATCATATTTTTTCTATTCACCTTAAGAATGCAACCAGTTCCTCCTGGCTGGAGGCTCTTATTTTCACAATTTTGACTTCTCTCTCTCTTTCTTCATTTCCTTTTCCTCTTCCCAAAAAGAATTTTCCATAAATAAATTAAAAGGAAATATTTAAAATCCAGTTGATTTGTAATTCCCATTCACTGAAAAAAAAAAAAAAGAAAGGCTACTGAAGCTGGCACATGGATTGCCCAGAACCAAGACTGGGTGACTGGGTGCTTTTGTTTGTTTGGGTTTTTTTTTTTCCCTGATCTCTGCACTGGGATGGGAAATGCAAGAGTCGGAGAGAAGAAGGCGACTAAGCTTGAGATTGCTGTTGGTTTTGAGTTTTAAAAAGGTATTTGTGAAAGTCCACCATTCCTTTATATGCAGAGAACCCCAGAAACAAGCTGCAAAAATGTTCCTGATTTCTATTTACAGGTGTCCCTAGTCACTGCTTCCAGGCCCAGCCCCTCCCCACTTAAGACCCCAAGTCCACCAGACTGGAGGTGAGGGGGCCCAGCAGGGAGTCCTGGAGCTGATGTTGGTGGGCTTGCAGGCTGTGGCTGGGCTGCGAGGAGGTTAAGCCAGGGAGAGAATAGTTTGAGCTCCTGGCGTGGCCCATATTGCCCTGCAGCAGAAGTACCGAGTTCTGGTCTGGACTTTGGGGAGGTGAGAATTCTTCTTCTGAGCTGGACATGAGCGGCTTGCCCCCTTCCAGAGGAGAGAGTTGATTCTGCTTGTTGGAGGAGGAGTTATTGTTTTCGGTGTTCTCCCTGAGAAATAGAGGACAACACCATATGGTTAAAAAAAAAAAAAAAAAGGTAGGTTAAAAAAAGTGTGAGTGGAAGGAGGGGAGCTGGAAGAAGGAAAGGGCCATTGTGCAATCAGTCATATACCCGAATGGAGGAGCTGTGCCCTCCCACCCATTCCCAAGGGTCCTGGGGCAAGTAAGGAGGCAGAGGAGTCTGGAGAAATGGGGAACTACGGACAGAGCTTGTGGGGAGCCAAGTCCTTTCCTCTTCCAGATTTTAGAAAGCCAGATCAGTAAGACTTACTTGAAACACAGAAATTATTTTAAAAATTTTGTTCAAGCAGTTATTTTTAAATACCTGTCAACCAGCACCACATTTAGAAGTAATTAAGTTTGAAAGTCTTCCAACAAATAGTTGTTGGTGATAAAGAAAATGATCAGAGGACAAACAGAGCCCCACGCGCAGATGTCTAGGGTGAATCAAGTCAGTTGCCCTGTTCCCATCTGAGGAAACAATTAAACGTCCAGTTTCCCTGGCCCTGCCCGGAGGTTGCGGTTTCAGAAGCACAGGACAGGTCATGGGAAGTGGTGTCCAGAGCAGCCCAGTGACCTGAGTAAACACAGGGAGCGAAGCCAGTCTCTCCGATTTCAGCAGGGAGTGGGCCCTCGGGCCTGGCTTATAGGACGACCGTTTTGTAACTAAAATCTAACTGGAACCGTATTGTCCCTGTCCCCGTGTTAGTCGCTCAGTCCTGAGTCCCTCACAGCCCCCTCTCAAACCCCCTGTCGGACACCCACAACAGCGCACCGTTTCCCAGCAGAGGAAACTTCGCGACGCCGCTCAGCCCGAGCGTGCCCGGGCGTCGGTCCGGATGCTCGGTGCCGGTAAACTTCAGCATTCGAAGCCCTGACCGCTTCCGCCTTCAGGCCCATCCTCCTCGGCCCCAGCGCCTGCCTGGCTCCCCATCTCTCTCCCCGGCCTCCCAGTCTCTCGGCCAGAAAAGCCACTGCAGCTGAGAGGATCCAGGCTCCGTGCTTTTCCACCCAGAGGGGAACGCAGAGGCGACATCTGCGGCCCCCAGGCTCGGAAGCGAACAAAGGAAAACCAGCCCTCCCGGGCGCTCAGGTTTCCCCAAAACTCCTCGGCTTTCCCGAGCGCCCTCGCCGCCGCCGCCGCCTCCCCGCGCTCTTCCGAACCTCGTTCGGAAACTGCACAGCAAACGGATGGAGCCGGGCCAGGTGGACCGGGGTGTTCGCGCGAGGAGGGCGGAGGCAGAGACAGGTTAAAATAAGATTGCCTTCTGAGCTCCCGAGAGAAGTCTGCGACTGGGGACCCCTTCCTCATCCGGGCCGGCGGCGCGGACCGCCAGATGGACCCGCCGAGGCACCGGGACACGCGCGAGGCAGCCCCGAGAGGAGCGGGCGCCAGATAATGCAGCGCCAACTCTTCCAAAGCCCTCTTTTCTGTGGATTTCTTTTTAAAGTCTCCTCCCTTTATACAGCTAGTACGGAATGAAGCGGCGACCTCTCGCCCAAAAAGCCTAGCAGGAGAGATCGAGTACGGAACGCGGCGGGAGTGGGGTCAGAGCAGATGTCTCAGGCCAGCTCCACCCCTCTGGGGAGCAAGAGCAGAGAGGTTCGCTACCCTCAGCCCCCACCGAACCCCTTTCCTCGAGACACCAATCAACACTTCCCCTGTCGTGGATCTCGAAACTCACTCTGCACCCCCCACCCCCACTCGTCGCCCCAGCCAACCAGGGAGGCATGAAAAGCAAACCTAGCGCCAATATTTCCTGACCTCACACCCCCAAGAAGCCCACGCGCGGGCGCTCAAATCAAATGACTCCCCATCCCTAGCAAGCGATCTCAGAGTTCATGAACTTTCGCTGCAGTACCGCGGAGGCCTGGGCGCCGCCCCGCGGACGGGCTCCAGCCGGCCGGGAGGACGCGGTGGCGGGTGCCAGCGGGGGCGACAAGGGGTGGAGGGGAAAGGAAGGCTTCCCGGGGTCGCCCGAGCAGCGGGAAGCACGCCGCGTACCTTTCCTTGGCCTCGGCGGCCCGGTCTCTTTGCCTCCGGTTCTTAAACCAGTTGCTGACCTGGGTGGTGGTGAGCCCAGTGGCCTCCGCCAGCTCCCGCTTCTCACGAGGCGAGGGGTATGGGTTGTGCGCGTACCACTCGCGCAGCACGCCCCGTGACTTCTCCTTGAAGCAGTAGCTGGTCTCCTCGCCGTCCCAGATGGTGCGCGGCAGTGGGAATTTTCGGCGCACCCGATATTTGCCCACCGCGCCCAGCGGCCGGCCGCGCAGCTTCTCGGCCTCCACGTAGTGCGCCTTCAGCCACAGTTGCTGCAGCTTGGGATGGTTGTGAGGCGAGAACTGGTGGCTCTCCAGGATCTTGTAGAGCTCGCGGAAGTTCCCGCGGTGGAAGGCAACCACGGCCTTGGCCTTGAGCACGCTTTCGTTCTTGTGCAGGTGGTCGCAGGCGGGGAGCGACCACAGGAACCTGCCCAGACGCTCCAGGTTCCCGCCTTGCTGCAGAACTTCGCACACGCACGCCACTTGCTCCTGCGTGAAGCCGAACGACGGCAGCATCGACATGGCTGGGGCCTGCCGAGGTGCACTGCCCGGGCGCACGCGGCAGGGAGCAGCGCCGAAAAAGCAGGGGGCGGCAGCCTCAGGGAGGGGGACGCAGCTGCTCCTAGCCCCCTCCCTAGGATTTCCGTAGGCGAAAAAGCTGGTCGAAATTTAGGGCTGGGAGGCCGAGGAAGAAGGACGAGGGGGGCGCGCTGGACACCGAGCGGCTGGCTCACTCCGCAGCCTTTTGGGCCTCTCTGGCTGCGGCCTCCCGCCTCCCTCCGGGTTGATGCTGCTCGTTGCCGGGGAACTTGGTTTCTGTTCTCCCCGCAGCGGCCTTAAAGCGCGCAGCGTCCCCGGCGCGCTGATTGGCTGCGGGCGGCGCCTATCCGGGGCTGGCCAGCCCGCGCGCCGCGGGGCCAGGCAGCGAGGCCGCGCCGCCCCGCGCGGGGAGGGCGCGGCAGTGGAGCCCGGGATAGGGAGTGGTGGGAGGAGAAGGACCCGGAGAGGTGGGAAGCGGGGTGAGAGGGGGGAGGAGGGAGCCGCGCTGCCCAGGCGAGGGGGGTGTGAGTGGGTGAGCGCGTCAGGACCCTGCAACGTGAGCCCCCTCTCCAGTGTCACCTAAGGGCAGCCGTGCACATCTCTGCACAAATCAATGACTCCAGACCTTATAATTCCTCTCCTCTCCCTCCGTACCCCTGTCCCTGTCCCTTGCAGACTTGCCCTTTCCCGGTGAGCTCATATTTAATTACCTTAATGTTGGAATGAATAAATAATGGATTGATGAATAGCTTAGGGAACGCGATAAATAATACAAGATCAGAGCTGGGCTCCGGGCTGCAACCTCTGGAAGAGTGGCTTCTCCCCGGCTGACTTCAGCTCTAGGAGCCTAATTTCCTCCGCCGTTCTTCTTTCGCCCCCACCGCCCTCCATAGGGCACAAGTATTCCCAGCTGGATAGCGCTTCCCTCATTTTCAAGAGGCCACGACTATTTGGGACCATGCGAAGAGCTGTTTAGAGCATTGTTGCTGAGCAAATAAAGATTCTGAGGGTTCATTTGTGATTTGGTATCTTAACGTTCTGTGGTTTAAGCGGGCAGCTTTTTGGACTCAGTTTCCCCATCGGCGCGTTTGCGTTTTCCATTCCTCTGCTACTGAGGAATGCCGAGAAGCTTTACTTGCTATTAGCAAAAATGCTTTGGGAACCTCGAACGAAAGGCGCTGGATGGGGTGTAAATTAAATAAAACTGTGTCCGGCTCCAATAGCCATCTGATTGTAACATAATCCTTGCCCTGCTCTGAGAGGGACACTGCCCTCAAAGCCAGGACGACAGCGGCTCCAAGAAGATTAAATAAAGAGGTGTGTGTGTGTGTGTGTGTGTAGGTTGCAACGCGGGCCTATTTTACTGCCAGGGAATGAGAGATGTCCTGCAATTTCAGTCCCATCATCTGTTATTTTGTGTATATGTGGAGAATGTTTAGTAAAACTGTACAAACAAATGAAGCTGTAATTATCTTAAGCCTCATTTGCACACCTTGTTCCAAAGCAATTATTAAAAAGATTTTGAAAACAATTAGCGTCTCTAAACAAAGATAATCTATTGTCAGTAGCTGAGACTGGCAGCAGATAAGAACAATGCAGGAAGATAAGGGGAGCAGAATGGTAGAAGGAGAGTGACTTTATAACTATACTTATCTCTGATTAGATAAGTTCAAAACAGAATTTTAAGTACACTTCAAAAATGCTTTTGATTTAAATGCACCCTCTTAGTGAATCTGAAGAACAAACTCTAGGCTCTTTCAACTTGCTTGTCTTCTTCAAATATGTTTTGATTACATGAGCCAGAGCCCAGCTCCACAGAACCATTTATGTATTAAGACATAAATGGGAGAAGGAGCACTGCATAAGTTTCCCCTTGTATTATTTATATGGTTTCAAAATAATGTGCCCAGTTCAGTGCATCCTGCAATGTACATTTTAAACTCATGAAGGGTTTCACCCTCTTGGCTGTCTCTCCAGAGGTTCCAAGTAGAGAGAAGCTGCTTCTCCCCTGAACTCCCACACAATGCATTTTTGCATCCTTAAAATTCTGCAGTATCCCATACAATTAGACCTTGGAAATAGATGCTGATATTTCATTACCTTTAGAGTTTTTTTTTTTAATCCATGTAATGGGTGCACAGTATTTTCTTTCTTATTTCTTTTTCTTTTCTTTCTCCTCCTCCTCCTCCTCCTCTTCCTCCTCCTCCTCCTCCTCCTCCTCCTCCTCCTCCTTCTTCTTCTTCATGCATATTATTTCAAAAGAGCCCCTACCATATGGTGTGCCCAATGACTTACTTTCTAAACTGGAAGCCTGACATGGCTGAGCCCAAGCCCATGTGTCTGGCAATTTTCCCTCGCTGTCTTATTTTAGTGCTTATGATGTTTCAGATGAAGTCTTAAGGAGCTGCAGTGTCCTGCCAGAAGGAACGTCTCTGCTTGGAATAGTCCTTATTGACATGGCAGCTGTATGAGGACCGGAACGGAGGCTTAAAATCCACTCTAAAAATCAGTTAATACCTTCAAGTCTGGAGCAAGTGCGCAGAATTAAAATGTGTGTGTAGGGGGTGGAGGGTCTGTAAGTACAGCCACGTCTCTTAAAAGACAAACGGTAAGTTGAGTATGGGGTGTACTTTATAATTAACAATTTTGTATAAGGAAATGAGGCGTAGCTTGGACAAATAAGGGCAGGTATAAATTTACAGGGGATGACGACGAGCAGAAAGATGACAATTAGACACCAATATGACCACCTTTTTTCTGCTTCCTCAGACCTCTCTGCCCACTTCTTTTCATCTTTCTTCAAAAGGAACAAGGACGTGAGGGACGTTGGCGACAACTGGGGAGATGACCGCGTGGGTGCCGCGATTGCCGGCACCGCGATGATGAGATGCGGTGCTCGTCCTCAGAGGCCGTGCCCGGGCCCGCCAGGCTTTCTCCTTGCGTTTAATCCAACAGATCGCGGAACTAGAAAGGAGAGGTGCTATTCGCTTTGTACCAATGAGCCTACCTACTATTTCGATCCCTTGGTTAGGGAAACCAATTGTTAGAAATGTTAATTGTTGGCTCGGATGTATAAGGTTTCCCAAAATGGAGCCTTTCAGTGAAAACCACTAAAAGAGGTAAAATGACATGAATTTACAAACCACATAAACCAAATGATCCATTTTAAATCTCACACAGAAAGGTTTGAGTTGTTCTAGTAATTTAAAACCTTTGCTGTCAATGCAAATCACACGAAAAACAGGGATGCGTCGGAGATTTAAAGGGAACGAGCAACTATAGCTGCTGCCCTTGCTGCTTCTCCGCGGCTCCCGAGGGTAACGTGGCTGGCGACCGTCGCCCGACGCCTGGTTTCGGCTCTTCTGTGCCTCCTCGGTGCAGGTAACCGCCGGGCGCGCACAACTGATTTCTGGAAAAGGCCAATGCACTAGCCGCTGGGGGTGTTTCTCGGCTGGGTCGATATATAAGGCCTTGGTTTAAAAACCTCTGTGTGGAACCCACTTGCTCCCCTTCTGGCTTGGAGAGAGATGCTTTGGGGCTCCGGCCCGCTTTCTTGGCATTCCTTCGCCATCAAGAACTACAGCGGGGATCCTACTCTACCTACGGATATTTGGAAGGGAAGAGCATCGGGAATTGTTCCTTCAGTAAATTAGCGTCGTCGTTCTAGGGCAGTGAGGAGACTCCCCAAATCCTGGCTGCAGTGACAACATTCATCTTTTTCCTCTGCTTGGTTGGAAACTCCGGGTGCCCTCGACCCTTGGGATCCCGGGCTGCGACGGCCAGCGCGGCGCCGGAGCAGCCGCCCACCTGCCTCCTGGGGGACCGTGCTCCCGGCGAGGTCTGAATAGGCCGAGGACTCAGGCAGGGAGATTTGCGTACCCCGAGAAGAGAAACTCAAAACCAGTCCATTAGTAAATGAGTTTTGTGTGTCAAGGCTCTTTCCCATCCACTTGCTGTTCTGAAAAATAGATCACGTTTCGTTATCTTTAGTGGGAATCTGCAACGTGACACCGGATCCGCGCGGCCCCCGCCTCTCTCCCTCCCTCCTTTCCAACCTCGTTCGGCAGGGCCAAGGGGAGCCGGCCGGCCTCCGCGGCTTATTTCTGAACAATGAAGATTTGTCTGTTCCCCTAATATATTTATGTATGTATGGAAAGAGGCAGTTTTCTCCTGGAAGCGGGAAGCTGCGAGGAGAGCCTCCCACTTCCTTGGTGAGAAAATCCAGCGCCAGCCCAAGACGCCAGGAGCCTGGCGCCCCCCGCCCACACCTGGACAAACAGAGCGGGCTGCTATCCCGGCTTGCTGCTAAAAACCCTGCCGCCCTGCGCGGCTCCTGAAAGTACAGGCTCCGCATTGTCCCAGGGGCGGGGAAAGGAGACGAAGACCAGCACTGAGAGACAGCGCTGCGAGGGAACTCAGATTGGAGGGCAGGGCTGGGGTGTGGGTTTGGAGAGCTTATCCTCCCTTGTGTGTGTCCTCTCACGTCTGGTCTCTCTCTGTGTGTCCCCCTAACTTCTCTCTTTTCATTCTGAAAGAGGAAACTCGTTTATTTTGTGCGCGAACCTCGTTTCTCATTTCTCGTTCATACTCTCTTATCTCTCTCACCCTTTCTCCCTCATTGTCTCAATCTCATTGTTCTGTTTCTGTCCCTCTGTCTCTGTCTCTCTGTCTCTCTCTGTCTCTGTCTCTGTCTCTCTCTCACACACACACACCCCCTCAGGATCTCTTTATTTCTCTCTGTCCGGGTCCCCTCCCTTCCGCCAGGCTCTGGGCGCCTGCACCTTTCTGCCGTGGACCTGAGGTTTCACAGACAGAGGGTGCTGGCGCGGGGCAAGTCAACGCTGAAGTCCCGGCAGGGGCATCGCACTCAGCCTGGAGACCAGCTAAGCTGAGCGGTGGCGTCGTCAAAACGTGGGGGAGCCAGTGGGTAGGGCGGAGGAAGAAGGTGGGCTGGCCACCTGGAGGGAAAGGGCCGCCTTTAGCTGCGTTCTGAGAAGGCTGTGGCTGAGGGACTCCCCAATGACCATATT